GGCGGCCACGCGCAGGCCTGGGGGTGCCACGCGCTGGCCCGGCGACCACGCGTAGGCTCAGGCCCAGCGGCCACGTGCAGGCCCGGCAACCACACGCCAGCCCTGGAGAGGCAGCGGAGCGCGGGGCTGCACAGGCGCCGCCGCCACACCTGGGGGGGGTTGACTAATTATTACCGTGGGTAGAAAGTACGGAGAAATGTTGGTTAAGGTGGGTATGTTCTAAATCTCCTGAGTGGCAACTGGCTAAGATCTGACTTCTTGATGGTTGTGTTGTGTGTCTATTGGTGAATGCCTGGCTCACCCTCTAGCCGTTCCTCTCGTAAGAGGAATTCACTGGTCTCGTATCAGTACCCAAGATAAGTTGCGATAGCAGACGCTTTGTTTTCCACGTGTCTAGATAATTGTAATTATTTTGCTCCTAGCTTTCTCTACTGTTATTTGGTTTTGAGAGCTCACGGTATTTCTATCTTATTTCACAGTAAATATCCGTTTCACTAAATCACTAGGGTTGGGTCCTATGGTTACGAGAGTATTGATTTTTATGTAAACCAGCAGAAAATGCTAACAGCCCAAATATAGTGCTTGATGGTTTATTGGGGTTTTTCTGATGGCCACTTTACTGTGAGCTGGGCAGTACAGAGACTGGAGATACTGAGTCAGGGTGGATCAAGAAGACAAGTGGGAAAGGAAAGGGTTATGATAAAGAAATGCTTTACATTCTTTCACGGTAAAATAAGTTATGTCATCTGCATAATTCCAAAGAGTGACAGAAATATAGTACCGCTTAAACGACTAGTTGGGGACTTGTGTGCCTAGGTTATATGATTTAGTGGCTATGCGTTGCACTTTATTACACACAATGTACTTTGAAAAGCTCACCAATAAAAAGAAAACAGAATAACTTACACTTTTGGCAATGGCCTCTATTTCATTATGCCTAGTAACTTAAAAAATACAGGAGCATGAATGTTAAAATGAAGAAATTAATAGAGATGGGGGCCCCTGAAATAGTCCTACTATTTTGGGAAATTAAGTTCAGAGTATCTACTGTGGGAATTCAATAAAACTTTTGGCCTTCCATATAAGAGAGACCATAAATCAATGAAGTTTAAATAGTTCTGCTCTCTTGAACACCTGCTTATCTGTCTTGAGAAAATTCTGTAGTGTTTTAAGCATCATTTTATGACATTAAAAAGTAATGCTCGCTATTGCAGTACTTGGAAAGGCTATTAAACTTAAGGGTCTGTCAGCTATTCCATTATAAACCCTGATTTCCAGGAGTTTAATATAACCCAGACACTGCAAGTAATAAACCTTAATGCAGGAATCTGAAACTTGGATCATTATTTTCTCTATTTAAAGACCAATTGTCCCGCAAAGACTGTCTTTAGCCATGGCAAATACCTTTCAGATAAGTTGTAATTTTAAAAATTTAGCAAATGCTATTTTTACCTTCCTGCTGTATTTTACTTCTCATTTAAGATAAGCCCTCAAAAAAGGAAGGCTGTGTGTAAAATGCTTTGGAATGAATGAAGCTCATCTATGCATTTAGGAAGGAGCACCCCACCCCACCCCACCCCCGGCAGAATTTCTTGCTTCTTTTCATAAAGAAGCAATTGTGGCCCATAGGTGGGTAGTTAGTTTCCTAGTTTGGCTATCACAAAGGACACAAAAGTGAGTGCTTTATGACACAATAAATATATTCACGTCAGGCTCTAGAGGTCAGAAGTCTCAGATCACTTTCGGCTGGTTCCAGTCTAAATGTCAGCAGGGCTGGTTCCTTCTGGAAGTTCTGAAGGGAGAACGTTTCCTTGTCTGTCTGAGGCTCTAGTGACTGCCTTTAATCCTTGGCTTGAAGTTTCTTCTTCCATCTTCCAAGCATGTCACGCTAATCCCTGCTTTCATCGGAGGGTAATGGACTAAGTTTCTTAAGTAGGGTGGAAGGTATCTTCAGTTGCCTGGGATATAAACTCTGAGGTGGTCTAAGTGGTGATGGTTGGTCGGATGAGGGAAACTTCAGAAAACTGACCTGTGATGGCTTTCAAAAGCTTTCTATATGCCCCAAACCTGGGTTCGAACTTTGGGTTTCAGTATTTCAGTATTGCGAGTTAACCACAAGCAAAGCCCTTATCTGTGTAAATTAGGTTTAGCTAAAAATGCATGTCATTATAACCTGCCTTTCAAATATCTTATCTGCAGGCAAAACTGACAGACCGAGGCCTGTCCAGAACTGGGGAGGAAGGGGTATGTTTGAGTGAAGGAGCAGGGGGCAGCGGCTCCGTGTCTCAAGCTTTGATCTTTGATCTTTCTATAGGGCAGGCGAAGACCAGCTGGCATTGTAGTGTTCCTCCCAAAGCAAGATCCTTCCTTTCTATGGGTACTGGGTGTCTAGTAATTGCTAGATTTGTGGTGGCCAGAGACACTTAGAGGCAGGAGTTTCTCAACCTACTG